AGGACGCTCGGAAGAGGAACACGCGAGCGTGCACCGAGGTGCATGTGCGCAGGCATACGATCAAAAAAAAAAAAGAAGATTAAACGAACCACGAAGAACACTGTGTCATCCAGTAGTGAAAATAATGTATTAAAAGAAAACAAGAAGGTTTACCTAAAGTAATAGTCTATTGATTTGTATTTCATTTCGAACTGTATTATAGCTTAAAGAGTATCCTGTACATTGCATAAACACACGAGCACTATTGTTTTAAATTGTACGTTTATGATTATTATACGAAGATAAAAAAAGAAATAAATAAGGTATACAAAGTATTGAAGATATATGAGAGATTTATTGACGATCTAGCTTAAGGGACTCTTTAATATCTCCTTCGCGCGAGGCGCGTTCTGCGAATAAATTATAATATCCATATCTTCCATGAGAGAATTTTGAAATTAGAGTGATTTATTGCTAGATATTAATGACAGTTATTACCGTCTCGGAGACATTGCTCATCCTCTTTTTTATTTCTTTTTTCTTCTTACTTTGAAACACTTTCTTGCCAAGTACTTTGCATTTCTCGGCTTGTTCATTAATTTTATATCTGCATGTTTCACGAGAGCCATGTAAACGTGTATACTTGGCGAACAGATATCGACGTTATATTGCTTTTCGTGAAAAAAACTGTTTTCGTGAAAAATAGAATATTTTTAAGAACTTTAATATATATGACACTTTAATTTACATGACAATTTAAGAAACAAACCATTGGATAACACATTGCTTTTCTTCCACAAACTACACGTTTCTAATTCTATATTAAAAACATGTAGTAAGTGCGTGCTTGTAAAGAGATATATATAACTACGTAAAGCACTTGATGTCTCAAACATCCCTAAGTACTATTATGCTGATCATCTTTGTTATTCTTGTTTCTTAGATGGTTCTTATATTCTTATTAGTTAAAAATTCGCGCAGTAGTTTTTAAAGATGCAATAATACAATTCAATCACAACATAAATGGAAGATTATCTTCATTGTATATACGTATATAATTATATTATCCATATCAATGTCTCCTTTCAAGAATTTCTAAATTAAAAAGCCTGTATTAAGTATTGTGCTGCTAATTATTGCAACAACCTATCTTTTCCCTTCTTCCGTATTAAAAGAGATGTTGCCTGCATACAATTTATAATTCACAATTCATCATCAGAAGTATATAGTATATATATTTTTAGTTATTAAAATATTCAATTAATTAATAGTCGATTAAATAAGATTAATTGAAATCTTCATATGATTTTTACGTATTCTAAGTAAAAATATTAAAATATAAAGAATAGAAGACAAAAAACTTATCTTATATTTCTCTTATACCTTTAATTTATTACATTTATTCTAATGTAAACGAAAAATAATTAAACAATGATATCCATTATTGCAGGCAAAATGAAATTAATTTTGAAATGTATTTATTCTAACTCTATCACTATTATTAATTTTACTTTGCAATTCTCTACTTCAGCGACATCTTGCAAATTTATAAACGAATCAATGATATTGTAACTGAAATTTATAGGTTTCATAGCTATCTGCAGTCGCAAATGTAAATTTTATATGTATATATGGTAAACTGTTTCAATCTATATGTTACCGAGATATAGGAAACATTTAATATATAAATATTATTGCATCTTTAATAAGAGAATAAAAAAAAATGCATTTTATAAGTTTGTATTGTATTGTTGTATTGAAATTATTACTGAATATATATACATATGTATACACAAATACAAATTTGTGTATTCCTGTGTCTAAATATTTTGTAAATAAATAAATCAACCGACGTTAATGCTATAAAAAGATCATCAATCTTAGGAAAAAAAAATCTTGTCATATAGAGAAAAACGTCCAGTAGTCGGTACTTTACCTGCTTTCGGTACTTTTGCGTGAATATTATCAAATATTAAGATGTTAAGGGATTTAAAAGAAAACGAATAAACAAATAAATAATAATTATTAAATAATTAATAAATAATTAATAAATCATCATACACCGTAATATTTGATAAAATCCGAACAAAAGTATCGAAAATTGCTGGTAAATGCTGTAAAAAAACTGACGAGTGCCGACTACTGGACTTACCAGAATTAAATGAGTCTTTCCATTTGAATATTTGTTTTCCTATATATGACAAATAGATTCGGTGGTCCCCGAAATGATTGAAGAATGATAACATTATCGATCATTTCTAGTCACTCGATATGTCTGTATATTTGTGTAGACATGTATAAGTTATATATATCTGCAAATTTTAGAACTTACAATTATTCCGATGTTGTGGAAGTATGCATATTTATGAATATATTTACGAGTTTACAAGTATATTATATGCATATTCTTTTGAACTACATTTTTTGTGGATATCACTTAAATTACCCACAGTTAACGATCTTAATCATTCCTTTACTTTTCTTACCTTGTCGATGTTTTGTCATCTGTAAATCGTGAAGTTTCCGGCTCGATGGAATTCGAGCTTACCTATAAAGGATAGTGTAAGGTTAGAACGTAACGTGACGGTTGCGTTTATCGTTACTCCGGATGCAACGAGCTTACAATCATATCGAGAGAATAGTTTATCGAAAAGAAACTTACATCGGATTGTTTCAATAGTTGACCTCAACAACTGGAATATTCCGTCTCGTTACTCTTAGATACGTATGAAGGATCCTCAGCTTTCTCCACGCGCGGTAAACCGTTTCAAATTAACGAAAGATATACGTGCGGCGGGAAACCGCTCTCCCTGTGCTGTAGTAGAAAGTAAAAACCAAGCGAGTAAACCGATAGCACGGGAAGTGCACGGATGATTCAAGTCCACTTCTCCAGAGAGCGCGTCGAGAAGAATGGTACAGAAATCCTTACATCATGGCTTATGGGATTTTATAATGATTTTATATTGAATTAGCGCCTTAAAAGGTGTAAGCGAGGGACACTTGAAACTCCTTACATTCATTGTTTTCATTATTTTTTTTTCTTAAAATATAAATATCGTATATAAGATATATATCGCAGGAAGTAGAGATAACATATTATTTACGAATTACATCGATAAAATATTACGACGGAGAAATTCTACACTCTTTTTCCACTTACCGCCTAAAAACTACAAGACACTTTGTTAATATTTTTACGTATTCAATAACCGTAGTTTCTAATCAAATGTGATAAAAATAAAAATTGATGCTTTTTGAGAATTTATACGCTTATCATCAGTGCATGCTCTGAGCAAAAGTATAATTTGGCTAAATAATGTACTGATAAAGTGGATAAAAAAGAGCAGGTATAACATAGACGCTCTTTCAATGTCTGAAAATTTAATTGACAGTATGAGATAACGTATAATAAGACGAAAGAATCAGTCAAATTTTAACATAAATTGTATGGTTGTTAGAATCACAATTTTAGTTAGAATCACAATAAGTAAAAGGAAATCGCCGCTACTCTGCATACGAGTGACACAATTCGGGAGTACGTCCACAGCACGTACACATTTGTTAAGTTATGAAGCACTAGCTATAATTGGTATATTAACAATATTATCGTTATTATCACTTGAATTAGAATTAATTATTTTGGCAACTCACGGTTCGATGAAAATTTAGTATATATTTTTTACATTACCACGCGCGCGTATAATCGACATTATTTTTACTGCAGTGTCACAATAATTCGTATGCAGTTCATCCTCTCTCATTGATAATTTCATACAATTGTAACATGTGTCCTGTCTTTCTTTGACTTCATAAAAAATTTATTTATACATATATATATTTACGAAAGTAAGAAAATACGAAACGACACTAAGAAATTATTATTTGAAAGATAAACGTAAACATATTTCTTTTTTTAAATTACAGGGTTCGGGCAAACGGGGCTTAGGGTCGCTTTTGAGCATAGGAGGGGCAGGGGGAGAGTTAAGTTTAGAATAACTATTAATATTAAGGTAGTAATCGTACAGATGATTTTTTGCATTATGTATACGTGTAAATTAATTTTCTTTAGCTGTTTATTATGTAAAAGGTGAACTGCGTGTGTATTTCTTTTATGTTCTCCGTCTCTCTTCGCGCTGGATCGTACGTCAGTGGCGGTGGTTTAATAAACATGAAAGAGCTGCGTGAGTTTTCTCTCGTGTTTACACATTCTGTCTGTCTCTCTCTCTCTCTCTCTCTCTCTCTCTCTCTCTCTCTCACACACATTCTTTCTCTCTCTCTCTCGCTCGCTCGCACTCTCTTTTTCTCTCTCTCTTTCTGCATAAGGATGGGTCAGGCTTATTCCGCTTTTAGTGGCACTGTTATCCGTTAGCTTTATGCTGAGCATCGGTTTCTTTCTTACAGTGCTTACGGCTTCCCTATATTAATATTATACACATCACAGAGATAAAAAAGAATATTGCTAATGTACTTTATGATCGTAAAGAGCATAATAAACATGTTTATGTATTTATTTCTTTGACGAAACTTACCAGAATTAAATAAGTCTTTCCATTTGAATATTTGTTCATCCCCTACAAACATTCCTCTTGGCTTTTTCTCACGCACCTCGCCACCTTTCGTTTAAATTCCGTATAACTCTCTCTCCACTCTTTCTGCAATAAAATAAATTACGATTGAGTTACCATTATAAATAGAGGCACAAGACACTTTTACATATCCATTAGTACTTACGGCGGCATCCACATTAGCAGGACTTTCATCGTTAGGATCTGCAAGCATGCTAATAACACTTATCAAGATAGTCTCGACTGTGTGAACTGGTAACCACCGTTCTGATGCCTTTTCGTACCCCCACTTGTCATCACCAGGTTCGTGCAATATTGATATACAAACATCTCCATTTCTGTCAATATTTGGATGCCATATCTCAGTTATAAATTTCATTTTTGGTGGCCTAAGTGGATATTCTTTTGGAAACTGTAAATGTGCTTTAAAAAAACCACCCTCATATAATGTATCCGGAGGTCCAATAATAAGCACTTCCCATCGATATATATCATTGTCGTCTATGAGGCCTGCTGAAAACCCTTCTACTGGGTTTTTATTTAATTCTGTAAACAAATTAAGAAAAATATATTACTTGCAAATTATATTATTAATATATCCTAAAAGCAACATGCTAAAAGCACTCATACTAACAACTGAAAAAGAACAGTTCTTTATAACAAATATAAAATACAATATTTACAAATAAAGTAAACATGTAGCTTAACATTGTTCTATATTGCACAATTCTCTCAAATATTTTATAAAAATATATAAGAAGTAGTTATATTTAATTAATATGACAACTGAAATTTTGCTTAATAAGTAACGTAAACGTTTTAAAATATCAGGTATATGCAGAAATGCTACCAATTTCCTTTAATGAAATTTAAATTTTATTTATAAAAAAAATTAAATATATGTTTAATCATGAAAATATTTCCTATTTCTTTTTACTCATGATCATAAATAAAATGTTATTTTGAACAGGCAGATTCCTTGGGACTAGAAATTTAAGGATTTTGAGATATTATCCATTGTACTTGTATATATATTTTCTAAAATATATTATATATTAATCTATATACTATCTATATACTAATATACTATATTGGTCAAAATAGATGAAAATTTAAAGAATTCTGGATACAGTAAATAAATTAGATATGCCAAAACATTTTTTAATCAATTATCATTTAATCTATTATTATTATGTCAATTCAACAGCAAGTGATTTAGAGTTTTGCTTACTTTATTGCTTACTTTATTTATAAATATTGTATTAACCAGCAGTTAATAACTGTCCATAATTGGACAGTTCTTTTTAAATCATCAAAACCAATTTTTTATCAGCATCTAGACTTACAAGCATTAAGACTATTTTTTCCAAGCTGGAAAGCTGAAAGAATGTAATATCTAATATGAATTTTTTGTAACTACAATATTTATTACCGTTCTCTGAAATTATGTGAATTTACTTCATAAACGTGTATATTTTGTTAAATCTATAACACACACACACACATTCTAAAATTATGTAGAAAAATAGACAATTTAATTTTGAAAATATTATAAATATATAAATTTTAATGGTAAAAATTTCTGTATACAGTTAATTAAGTCAGAGATAAGGCAAAAAAAGAAGAAAAGATGTTAAATGAAATAAAAAATGCAACTAAAAACAACAGTTATATTCAAGACAAAAGAATTTTTATTTCCGGTATTTTCAGACTGCATGCATCGCATTGTGAATCTTAGGACCCAAAACTACTTTTTATTGGTTAATTAGTAATGCGCACAATTTAGATACGATGTGTTTGACCTAAAAATATTTAAACTAAAAGCATAAGAAGCATCATTGGTATTCAATATAATCTAGAAAATCATCGCGGAGCATCTAGGTTATGTTCTCTACTACTGCAATGCATGAAAAAGAGCAGCATCATTGAAGCACACAGAACGGCTACGTGTGACACGTGCGTGTACACATGTACGTGCTGCCGTCAGCTACACACGTAAATCAGTGTACTAGCAGCTAACTCCAAGACGTGCGGCGTATAGGTTAGGTTTGCCCGTGCGAAATAGGTGCCATACGCCCGCACAAAATTCGCGCGGTGAGTCAGCGCGACGTGTGTAGTTCGCGTGAAGGAGACGAAGCGCGATATTACCGGCACGATGGCTTTCTCTCTTTCGTGATCGTGGTGCGACTTTGTTGCACGTCACACAAAGAGAAGCGAACTCCGAGAGGCATTTTTCGCGGAGTTGATCTCGAATGGAACAGGGGAGCATGGCCCGAAGGCGGCTGACCTTCGATGGTCGTTGCACGGCACGCTTTTGCTCGCTCTCTCTTTCTTTCTCTCTCCCATACACACGCACGCACGCACGCACACTCTCTCTTTCGTTCTCTCTCTCTCTCTCTCTCTCTCTCTTTCACTCATACTCTTTCTCTCTCTTTAACTCTCTCCCTCGCTCTCGCGTCTCGTCTGTGTGCGCTGTCTCCCGGTTTCTTTTTTTTTCTTTTTCGCTTCCTCGCTCGATACGTTTTTTTTTCTCGCTGCCGAGAAGAACCGTCGTGCGCGACGTCATGTGACGCGCGTACGCTATAAATAACAAGGCCTGCAATTATTTTCGGGCATGAGGCGAGGGCGGCCTTCATCCTCACGTCGACGTTGTCGCTGTCGTGCAAGAAACGTCTGCGTACGTCTACGCCACGAGGAACCGAACCGAACCGACTCGGCGGCGGCGGCGGCGGCGGCGGCGGCGGCGGCGACGACGACGATCGGTAATACAAAGCAGATCGTGCTCGAGGTCGCGACAAGTCACGGACGACAAGAGCGACGACGTTACGCCGTCGCTTTAGGCCGCTTTCGGCTGCTTTAGACCGCGAGGACTTAGGTTAACGTTATTCACGGCGCAGCACACACAGGTCTCCGCGGGAGAGCCGTATTGATTTTCACGCCCTGTATCGGTGCGCACGGCTACAACAAGCCGGCTAGGACGACGAATGGGATGATGAGCGAAGACACGAGCTCACAGCACGACAATTTCCGGCGAGAACGAGAGCGAGATCGACGTGAAGGCTGACGTCGAGTCTACGAGACACGGCGGCGACGAGTCCCTCGAGAGCGCTAGGCGCACGGCACCGATGCCTCACACAATTGCGATCCGCCTTTCGTTATAAACACACTTTACACTCATATCACGCTCACGTTGTACCTGCTAATTGTTTTCGTAGTAACAGCGCGGACTGTGGCTCTGACATTAATAAAAGTTCAGTTAAATAAGAGTAAGGTTGAAAACAATCACTTTTGCTTGCTTGGAAAGATGGCTAGGTACGTTGCGGAAGCGGTGAGTACGCATGCGCCACTGACTAAACATATGTTCTTCCGTTCGGAGCTCTGCGCCGGCTTGATACTCCACGCTACTCGCCGCGCTACGACGGTCTTTACTCGAAGCTCTAAGCGGAAAGGAGGAATGTCGAACCGTGGGTAATACGTCACGTACGTAGCTTGAATTAACGATAGATACCAGCGGGGCAAAAGTTACTGTGAGGCGGTAATTAAAAAGGCGCGCTTGGTTTCAGGTGTACTCGAACATTTCCAAGATGGTTCTACGAGTTCACACTGATGACGACCCATTCCCCGGCCTGTGGACGATTGACGCCGCCAATTTCAATGTTCAATACAATCCTGGTACGTGAGTAATCGCTTGCGAAAGAGCAAAATTTCGTCTGATATGTCTTATTAGTAATAAATATGCAGATTTAAAACATACGGGGAAAAAAGTTTATATATGAATCTTGTCCATACATGGTTATATATGATCATATATAATTATATATGTCGATTATATATATCGGGAAAAAAAGTTTATATATGAATCTTGTCCATATATGGTTATATATGATCATATATAATTATATATGTCGATTATATATATTGAAAAGAATACTATTGTGAAGATACAATTGAAGTAAATGCTTATGTTTATGGTAGCCCATGATGTCGACGTTTAATCGAATCAAATTATGTTTTCCTTTTTTAATTTGGCAATTTTCGTTTTATATAATTAGATATGATTATGTATAAGGTCATATATATGGACAAAATTCATATATAATTATATATAACCCAACAAACACAATGTTACATGTAACATACATGTTAGTTGTAATTTCCTACTCAACAATATAACTATTATATAACATGCATGTTATGTAACAGTTATGTTTTATTATTGTTGAGTAGGAAATTATAACTAACATGTACGTTACATGTAACATTGTATTTGCTGGGAATCTTTTTTTCCTGGGACAGCAAACCATTTTTCTCACTCACCAAATTACGCCAGCTTCACGCTTTAGACGTAATGTCGAGATTCGAAATCTGATTTAAAATTCTTAAGACGTGAATACGTCAGTTTCGAATTACTCAAACAACTTTAGTTTTCACGCCAAAGTTCACGCACTAAACATGCCAACCGATATTATCTTGTTATCATTTTCGTATCCTGAATGGTAATTTAATGTGCTGTATCTTTCAAATAAAATTGCAATATGCATGCGTCATCGTTACACGATATCTTTCACCGACCGTAACGTTTCTATTACTATTATCATTGTCCCTTTATTACTGTGCAGACGATATTAGTATTTATCGTGTTATTACACCTCATATCAACTTGCACAGAATCATAGCGATAAAAAATAGAGATCATTAATTCCAATTCCGTTGTATCATTAGGTCAATAGATCTAAAATGTGTGTGTTTCATAAATTCAGTATAACTTCACTACAAATTAAATACCAAATGAGATGTACTGCCATAGGAAATCACTTTTGTGTGCACCGAAATAAATTAATTTTTTTTATATTTTTAATAAACGCATTAAATAGAAATATTTTATGAAATTTAAAATTCAAGTTCAAAGTTCAATTGTGATCAGAGATACTCTCGTAGAGATTCATTTTTTCAATTTTTTTATTTTGTAAATTTTTAAATATATAAGTTTCTGTACAAAGCCAGCAAAAATTTTTTTAAATTTTTTGTTTTATTTTTGTTTTATGTAACATATTTTTGTAGTCAGAGTTCGCGTGTGGTATTATTCGCAATCTGCACACACGAGTGAATAAAACGTCGAATAAAGATTAACGATTAGACACACTTCGTTTCGTTGACGCATAGCGTTGCACAGCATAGAAATTGATCAAATAAGTTCCCATCAAGGTCAATATATCGCGACAAACACGTCGAAACGTATTGACAATTAATATTGCGAAGAAAAGTTATCCATATATTATTAATTTCTGCTCTGTTTTGTGTCGATTTTGCGTCGATTTTGTTAATAGATGTTTATGTACTGTAATGACATGGCATTTTTTATAAGATTTTTTTTATTATTTCCTATTGTAGGGTACACATTGTTTGACAAATGATTATACAGACGTACAATATCCAGTAAATCGTAGTTTACTTCATAGTTTACAATTTCGGCCAAAATTCTCATCACACCTCTCCCGACACACAAACACACACACACACACGCACTGTATTTTCACAACTATTTACAAAATATTAATAAGACCTTAATTTTGGTATGCAATATATGTGAATCCGAAATGGTATTTCGTCGTGCATCCGCCTACACGTATCTTTTTCTTACATTTTAATCTCTCATATCACACAGATATTTTTTGAAAGATCCACAGTTGATTCATTTGACTGCCCATAACATGAAAAAAATTGTACGTTACATCTACTATTCTTCAAGCCTCCTTGAAGCAAGAATTTTTAATTTCGTATCTGATGGTTGTGGATCTTACGGAAAACTGGTAATCGTCGAAGAAAAGTGTTCATAAGCAGTCCTTAGAAAACTTTAAGTATGATTAATCCGCGGACACAACAGGTCGCTATAAGCGTGTAGAAAACTTTGTTTTGATCGACGACGCGCGCAAAGTTTAGAGTATCAGACATTTATTAGAACTTTTTCTGCCCGCGCGAAGAATTATGTGAGATGATCCACGATCTGAGCGGGAATGATTACTCTGTCGTACTGCTTACAACTTAGCAAGCTTCTTATGTTTAGTCTCCTCTGGAATGCATGTAATAATTTAAAAATTTCAAAAGTATTCATTTATTTAAAATTCTCTCTTTCTAAATTCAACGTCATCACCAATCTTCTAAGAGAAAAAATAGTATCATTTTTATTACAATAGTTTTAGACAATTTCAATGGTGAGTTTTTCTTGCGACACGCTTTCATTTAAAAAATGAAAATATATCTTGTATGAAGTTTTGTTACGTATATTTCCCTAACAAAAACAACAACAGGAATAGATACGTCTGAATTTCTTACTTTGACATACAAAAATGGCATTTCTATTACAATCCATTGATAAAATAAGAATAAATGTTCTAATCAAATCTAACACACTTCCTCATATACATTGGCAATATTTAATCTTCTTTGCAAAATTAAAACGAGCAATATTAAGCAACATTATAATAATAGAAAATTGTTCGAGTTATACTGTTGTTGTTCAATAACAAGATCTAACGAGACTTCTCACGCACGCACGCACGCACGCACGCACGCACGCACGCACGCACGCACGCACGCACGCACGCACGCACGTACGCACACACATATACACACACACAGATTCACTGTGTATAATATCTAATACAATATCGTATTTACAACTGTGAGCCTCCTCTCAGTAAAAGCGATCGACAGGCGAGCCATGAATACAACTCTAGTAATTGGACTTGACGTTCTAACAGTAAATACTAATATAATGTTATCGCACAATCACATGTTAATGCTATGTACAAGTAATCTTTTATTAAAGTCGTCGGTACCGATATATTCGTTTTATGAATAATAGCCTCATTCGGTGATTTTTCTTCTAGTGGTGCTAATATCTTAGATACTCAGGTAAGATTCGGTTAGTAAAAAAGTTCAGGAAATACTCAAAAGACTCAAGTATCTAAGTAATACCCGAGTGTCCAGGTACCTGGATATTGACACCACTAAAGCAAATGATTCGAGTAAGATATTGACTTGAGTGTTATTTTATAAAAAAAAACAATGACACAACTAAAAAAATTACTATAAGAAAAGTTTACTTTCACTTATTCTATGATAGCAATTTTACATTAAATAATTGTGAATACATTTTAATAAAATATAATAAAAGTGCATTAGGAAAATTAATTGATAATACATATAATCATATTTACTTCATATTAAAACATTACGAAATACTTAGTACATGGCATAATTTCGCTTAAGATTTTCGATATGAAAGAGTTGTAGAGTAAATCTCATTGATTCGTTAATTGCGGAAGTTGAGTTAACGTTAAGGTATTGTTACAATTCAAGTATTTTTAAGTGAGATTTCTTTTTTTGGATATCTCTCTCTTTTCCGAGATCTCCTTTTTTATAATTTTTCTTCGACATTCGCTTTACAGATGACGACAATGATTCTCCATCCGGGTACCAAACATTTACTTATTTAATGTTTGCTCCAAATTAAAGTACATAAATAATTGTTCCATTCTTGTGAAACCGGTCAGTAAATAATTTCTCATCAAGAGTGGTACAATATGGATAATAAAAACAAAATTATATATGATAAAAACAAATAAATCGGAAGCGATCACATTAATCAAATATTGCCATTTCTGTGATAAGTGAGTTTACTTCAATTTGTCAGCAATTTTTCCAAGTTCTTCGGACTGATAATAGCAGGAATTAATGGTCCCAAGAAAGGCGAAATTAAAGAGACTCGGTCTCCTGAGGTTCCCGAAAATTTAACGATTCACACGAGTCAATTCGCGTGCAAAATGAATATGTAAGATAAGGGGAACAGAAGAAACCTCCAATCCCTATTAATTCCATTAAGTCGGCCGCTGGAAGGTCGGGCTGGCTTTGCTTTCTTCCTCTTTCCTTTTTTCTCCAAGGCCGAAACGCACCGATGAAGCTAAATCCCGTGGCGTTTGACTTTCATTGGATATTTCTTGTGTAAAATTGTCGCGCAAAAGTTTCGTGCCGACCGTCGAGAGCTTTGAACTCGGTTATATTTCCCTGGAGTACGACAGAGGAAACCGGAACGTAAGGACGAAAGATGAGGAGCTACGTAGGAAAGAAAATCCTGTGAAAAGAGAGAAGCCGACCTGGACTTTCGCCGCGCTGGGACCTCGTCCTGGGCTTACAGAAGGCTTATATATCGGCATAAAAAATCGCTATCCACAATCTGCTATGTTGCAGCGGTAATGATGCGATAACCTACGAACATAAGGATAATTCGTCTTATTGATAATACATTTCCGCCGTGCACTTACATACAAACAATAGAAATATTAACGACAAAGAAAATAAAGTTGGAAAATGAGGTGTGAAAGTCGTATATTTCCGCTCTTCTTTTTATGAGATACTATAATAGAAGTTTTACGAAAAAATGGAATCTTCTATAATGTAAAGACATACACAACTCAGGATAGAAGTACATGACATCAATATCAATTAAAATGAAATCAAATCAGTCAATTGAAATGAAAGACGTAGAGAACCGTGTATAATTCTATCTTTACCTCTATTACAAATCGATGATACGGTGTAACACACATATATGTGCTATATGTAGCTCAATATAGTCAAATTCACTTACGTATGTAACAAACTCAATATCCGTGGTGCAAAAGTCAATGTTAGTTCGTTTTACAAGTTTGCCGTGTAAATGAGTCTAGTATCCTGGAAGGAAACTGAAAGAATTAAAAGCGACTTGGAATAACACGTCTAAAGAGAAATCTCTCCGAAAAAGAATATTAACAAACGCGAATATTAACAAAAATTTAATCAAGATATTTTCTGCAAAATATTGGCCTCGCATTTCGCATTCTCTCTCTTCCGGGATATCTTATTTTCTGGTAAAAAAAAAATTCGGTGGCCAACTTTTAAGCACTTTCTTCGGCATTCGCAATCGTGACACGCTGGCGGTTATTGCGCGACTCCCCGCGTACCCGAGTATATGTATGGAAAGTTGTAAATAGATTCTCGCAACAAATCGCTGTAGCGCCAGCTTGGAGCGAGCGCTCGCCTCGACTCGAACTCGAGTGTGAGGAAGTTTGTACGGGCGGGTAGGTTGGATCGATGGCTGGATGGCCTGGTACGAGCACCAAAGTAAAGTTTGTCTTGGCTACCGGCCACGACCCTCCATCGAATCACCGACGGAGTGATAACGATAACTCTAGCAACTGCTCAAGCCAGTATCGATTGTCATTAGACACCGTACGAAATTCGCTCGCCTGTTAGTTGCACGGTTGGGCTTTATCGCTTTATCAACGGTTTGCTCGGCGCTTTTAATATCGTGACGACGTACACATGCGATCGCTTGTGAGTTAAGAGATGGCCAACAAGATCCCTTATACCATATGATATGTTACAAGAAACAGAAGAAGGGACATTCTTCAGATCGCTACGGGGATTATCTCGTTCCTCTGCGTCACGCGGGGCAGACTTTGCGCCAGTTGGACGCAACTCTCTCTCTCTCTCTCTCTCTCTCTCTCTCTCTCTCTCTCTCTCTCTCTCTCTCTCTCTCTCTCTCTCTCTCTCTCTCTCTCTCTCTCTCTCTCTCTCTCTCTCTCTCTCTCTCTCTCTCTCTCTCTCTCTCTCTCTCTCTCTCTCTCTCTCTCTCTCTCTCTCTCTCTCTCTCTCTCTCTCTCTCTCTCTCTCTCTCTCGCACATCAGCACAAAGGAAATTTGACCGGTATATATAAGAAAATACAAGTTAATTTAACATATAATTTATTCTAATTTTTATTTTCAATATATTGGGTTATATATAAATTATACCACTCATTCGCGTGAGAAGGGATATGTAAAGAATATTTTAACGTAGCAACATAAGTACGGCACACACGCTTATATAATATTAATCGCCACGCGCAAAGGTTGCCCCATACGCAGCGAAAATAATCGTTTATAGCTAATTCACAGCTATGCTTTGTTTACGCACTCTTCTTGTGGCCTATTCGAATATATTAATATGAAAGGGAACGGAGACAGACGTCCTAAACGCAACATTCTTAATGCCTATCCGTAAATACCTTAGTTATTGTTCTTGAGCACAGAATTTGATTTCATTCATTTGATTCTAACATCCGGCCACTGGCAGTATAACAAACAACGCGTTGCTCATCATCGTACATAACAGTATTACAAGACCTGCTACAGTTATCGCTGATCAAACGATCATTTCTTCACTTGCCGCGCGACTTAAAATTGCAACAAAATATTCCGTAATAGATTCTCTCTTTGTGTGCAAACAGTTATATTTAAACGATTACTCCATTTTAGATATTGCTCATCCATTTAGGCAACATGATCCTTGTTCAACGACAACCGGGCTGCTATTTGCGCAGATTTCTGTGTACGGCAGTGTGTGATTGAACTTACAGTTCGGTAGAATCTCGCGAGGACGTAAGAAAGATGACGGATCGTTCGATAAACATGTACGCGCGCGCGACTGGCCGTGTACGTGTACATCCGTTGATCCATCTTGAGCTAGACGCAAGGATCGACAGCTTAATTATATTACAGACAAGAACGCGTTTACTTTGCGAATACTTAAATATGGAAATATAAAAAACTCCTTACATGTCCCTATCTAAGTAGGCGTGTAGAAACATTAAGTCGGTCTCCGTCCGCAAGCCAGGACGTCCTCGAAATCTCATTGAATATTAAGCAGGTGAGCTATAACTCGAATCCGCGCGACAACATCTAGATTGATTTCGCCCGTGACATGCTTGCCAAGAAATCGATATCAAACACACAAGTCCGGCATTATCGGAAATTAATTTCGAAGAAGATTCCGTGCCTTTTTGCGCGTGATTCACTTCGCCGAACTACAATACTATCATTCAAGGATATGTTAATTCGCTGAAAGATCGCTGCTGGATATTGTTTTTATCATGTATGCGTGTGTGAGATTTCATTTACATTCCACATGTAAAAACGACATCTGCCCTGCGAAGAAATGAATCGTGCGCGTCGCTCATACTTGTACGCAGTGTCAGCTTGAAAACTTCACATTCAGCACTTTACAGGACTTAAAATGTTCAACTTTTAAGATCTTCTGTTTTTTTAAGGCATTACTTATATCGACGAAACATCAACTTTTCAGCCGATTCCAAAGCTTTCTTGGGAAGTAACGGCTGTACGTGACATGAATAAGGAAGATAGGGAAATAAAAGGGGAGTTCCAACATTTCCGTGCACGAAGAGCATACCGACCGCGAATGAAATGCACCATTGCCCCTTGGGAAATTATTTTATGCCGGTCATTTGCTCTATTCATTTTATCGACGACGTAAACGTAATTTCCTGTCGTTAATGCCGGTACGCGGCCGGGTCGTAATGAAGAACTACTCACGGTTTTAGTTTCTGCGATTTCACTCTTTTCGGTGTGATTCCCCCAATTAATCCGAATTACTTGAAACTACACGACGAAAGATGACGCATTCACGAGCAGTAACTTCAAACAGCACACCTGTACCCTGGTACGCTAAATATCTTTGATAATAATTTGACATGCATTTAACCAACATGAGGAGAACTTCGATGTTATTTGCATTAACCTTTCCGACACTTTGTTTTTGCGAAGGTGGTAGCTTCATATTCCACCAACATTCAGCAAACATTCATTAAGGACACTTCCAGATTAACCTGGCAACGTCTGGTAGAAGTTCAAGAATGTCCGACGACATTTAGGAAACACTTTACCTATCTTGGTGCCATCTTACTTAGAACTTACGTAATGCTATTACCGTATTTATCAAATATGACGGTTATGTGCTGAATATAGTACTTTTCAGTAAAGCTCTTATGCTCTTACGCGAACCGAAAGTATCAGCGCATATTACATTGTTCCGAGACGAATACGTTACTACAGTCAACGTAAGTTTCGCGGTGTGTGACATCTGAAATTGAATAACTTTCATCTTTTAATTTCACTTCGTTCTTAAGATTATATTAATTTAAAGAAACAAAGTTTTATTAACTTTTCAATTTTGATAGAAACAATAATAACTTTCAAATCAAAATCGACTTATATAGAATTGAACTTTTTTAAAAGTACAATTAGTCAGTATAATATGCAAGTGTGGCCTTATATCGTTTTATTATACGGGCGAAAATGAAGCTATCTTGCTGTAACGATTTCAAAGAGGATGTCCTACTTGCGTCCACGACTTAAGCACTTATTATTCTTGAACTTTTGGAATGTGTCCCAGATGACGTATTGTATACGTTTACCTATGCTCTTTGATTAATGAAGGTGTGTTAGTGACTCTATTATTAATCGTTGGATCTAGAAACATTGATATATTTTGCATAACACAAAAATCGCAATGATATAGTAATTTTTACATTCAGTTAAAAAAACTAATTTTATAAAGTGAACAATTTTAGCATAAAACATTAGATGATAATTCGAAGAAATTTAAAGCTTATGTTTGCAAAAATCTCTATAAAACTACATTTTTCTTTTTTCAATTTTTTTTAAATAGAGAAAGGATATAATTGCTTTCCAGTTTTCATTAAGATCATCACGTTGTCCATTGTAGGAATTGTAGATCCAACACTTTAATGATAGATTCAGCAAAACATCTTATCATCGTCGCGATCTGACAATATGGTTTAGCATATACAACGTGTTACATATACCTATTCATCTGGTTACGATCCGTAAAAATGCTGTTAGATAATCTCTAGTTGATTGAATCCGATCCGGCCTCTAGCCGAGGCACGCCGAGGCTTTACATTTCCGTATTTTCTTCAGCCTCCTCGTCCACTTTGGGCAACATATAAACGGCTGATATCGGCGGAACATGATCCTCGAGCTTCAGGATCGGCTTGCAGTCTCTAGTGACATCCACTTGATTGAAGGTGTCCTTCAGGATGTTGATCTCGTTCTCGTGCGCGAATATATTGGTGGGTGGTTCCGTGCCACATATATTGTTCTCATCGGTGCCGTTCCTGTGGCACAGATTGCCCGACGGAAATTGTCACGAGGTCAGCGCGAAGGGGTCCGTCGATAGCTCGTCCACGGACGAGCTTGCCTTCACCGGCTCCGGCTTGTCCGGCTGGTGACTCAGTCGATGGACGATCTCGTCGTGCAGGATGTTGAAGCACATCGCTGTCAGGGCCATTCCTGACATTATGTAGCAAGAGCAAAACCAAACCGTCACGTTTCTTGAGTCGGCGAGGTTGTGACGGGGATAAGAACCGGGCACCATGTCGCCGAAACCGATGGTGCTCAGACTCATGAAGCAGAAATAGCTCGCGTCTAGGTGTGAAAGAAGCGTCCCGTTAGCCTTCGTGATGTGACACAAGTTTATATTACAGGTTACATCACAGTGTTTGCGCCGGTCTCTCGGGAACATCAAGGAAACACAACTACAATGGTTTCTTTGAGGCACTTTGGAAAAATTGATCGTGAACGTTTGCACGAGAGAGCTACCGAAGTGCACGCCGAGAACCACTACAACACCAAGATTTCTGAACATTTTTCAACATGAAGAAGAACTCACCTACGAATGACCAACCGTCCAATTTGTGCAGAGTGAACGCTCCGGCGACGATGTAGCATAGCATCGCGCCAAGACAAATACTAATCGGGGCGAGTATCGTAACGTTGGGCCTGTCACCCGAGCCGAGGCTCGATACCTCGTCTTTCGGGCTGGCCTTAATTTCCACGGTGCTTGTAAACGTCGATGCATTCGCGCGGACGTAAAAGGGTTCCTGCAGTTGTAGCTGTTGCTGTTGCTGCTGCGCCAGCTCCTCCTGTTGCCGTTTCTTTCTCATTCGCCGCTCTTTTTCCTGCACGCATGAAAAACGTTCGAAAGAGCGCAGAGACTCGTTTTTCGCGCCAGCATTCGCGTAGCTACGCTCGCGATCATTTTACACGCGTATTCCAATTTCGTTCACTACGCCGCGACAATTTTGAGCAAATGCCGATCGTTTGCACTCTTGTATTGAGTGTCGGGAGCCTACGAAGACTGATCCAATTTTATTTGAATAGCTCTCTAACAATAACCAATCAATACTTGGATAGCCATTAATCCTTATCGACCGTGCAGGACACGTACGTCCTGCACTAGGCAACGCTATCGACTCGACGCGACATATGCGTTTCTCATCACGTATATCCGGTTTGCTCGACGGGAAAAAGAGCGTCACTGGCAGTTTACGATTAAGCTTTTTATCGGATAACAGCGCAAAATTTTCGTCGGGGCAAAGCCCCGCCCGCTAACCTGCATTCGCCTCTCGTCGTAGCAACAGTAGCCGCAATTCGAGCAGAGGCAGCAGCAAAGAGCTCGCGTGAAGACACCTCTGGCGCATCTCGACAAGAGACCTCCCGCGCTGGATAGGTAGACCAAGGTCAAGGGTATCCCGAGACTGGCGTAACCCATGGTAGCGACTTTTCCCCAAGTGGATTTCGGGGCGATACTTCCACATCCTACGAAAAAAGGGAACAAGAAAAGTTTACGTCAGAGATGAGTAAAAACTGAAGTTACGTGTCGGTATTTCGCAGTGCTATTTCTTTCTCGGCGAGTCGTTATATTTTCCCTTTACGCAATACAATAGCGATATTACGGCGATAAAAGAACAGCGACGGAGTCGAGGCAGTTAATCTCTCGTAATATTAATCTTCCGGCTTACTTAAAAGGTAATACGCGCACCGATATGTTTATTCACGCTAATTAAGCGCCGCGATAACAAAAACTGCGTAACATGCAATTGTAAATGCATTTGCTCGTGTGACCATATGTGCGTGGATATGAGCAAAAGTACTTATATTGAGTTTGCTTAAAGGATAATGTCGAGAGTTTCTTTTCTAATTTTCATCTTTTAGCGTGTGGTTAACGTGTCTCTAGCCTCGTTCGTTTTAATGGCTACAACACCAATTTTCTTTTCTACCTTCTCTGGTCGGGTTATATTTTAATTTAATTAACGGAGAGATTTAAAATCGACACTGAGAAGCGAATTTATTATAATTCGCCGTAAGAATCGAGCTCAGAGAGCAAATCTCGAGACGCAAGTTTTATTATTACAATTCATACGTTGCGAAAAATGCGAAAGTTGATTAGACTTCATAAAAGCCGTATCTAGGTCAGCAGGAGCGCTTTGCACGGAAAGTTGGGCAATAAAACGTTCATAAAAATTCGTAGAATTTTTAGTATCGTAAGAGCTTAAGTTTCAGCAAACGTCTATCAATCGTAATCTCCAAAAACGACTCTCGCAATCGAGCGGCGAAATTTATAGCACAGCAGCAACGTCCAATTGGTTTGCTATCCGGGGGAATAGATAAAAATATCTATGAAAACACCTAGCCCCAGAATTTATCTTCAATTGCGCAAAACAATCAAAAGCATTGTTCGATCGAGATTTCCGCGACAAACCGTATCATTCTGACGTTAGAATATGATTTGCGTTAAACGATTATTTTTCTTGTTTTATGTGTTTATGGTATAAAATTTATTCAGTGAGATAACCTATCGTTATCTCAAGTGTATGACTGAATTGCAATATCCAGGCACTGTATTGTTGCATTCACGCTAAAATTAGTTTGACGATTGTATCGCACTCGCGATGACAGGAAATCAATACCCGAGAAGACAAGGAAGGCAGAGTGATCTTCGAGACAATTATCGGTAAAACGAAAAAGAATTTGTATAATATTAATATCATATACATTTAATATTGATATTACACGATACAAAGAATTCTTTGAAGAAATTAAATGAATAAATAGCATTATGATATTATGTATTTTCGGATAGAGATTAACATCTATCGATATAACTAATCAGGAAATTTGTTTTTTGTTTCAGATCTGTCCGAAATTGTGACCACAAGGTAAAAGTAGTTTTCAAAATTGCGTTCAAAATAAATTTTCGGGACTGCAATTCCGTGCGAGGAGTTTTTAAAATTGTTGATAAGTCAAAAGTACCGAAGCCTTCGGTTCGCGATTTTTTCCGCGCGGTTTGCACATATATTCGCGAAGTACTAAAATTTATCATGTGCTTTTCGTCGAGTGCCGTTAAAATGATCGTGGTCGCGAGCGTAATACGGTGAAGTGAATAAAAAATGATCGACGTGGGACGGCGGCTGGATGCTGAGGAGGCTGGAGGCTAGATGAATGTGAAGTGAGGCAGTCAGGGCGCAACGCTGAATTTCATCATGGATCTAGACGGCTGGACGTTGCTGAATATCATCGCGAAAATGGTGAGTGTACAATTTGAACGCTCGTCAAATATGGAGCGTCACATCATATAGTGTGCGTTTAAGCGAGATCGTATGGATTTCCGACGTGAACAAGACAAAACTGTGCGTGTATCTTGACAAGTCGAAGTTGCTTCAAATAGATTTAGGAATTAATGACACGCGATAACGCACGCCTGCAGCGTCTGGCAATATATCTTTTACAAGCCGTTTCGCCATTGCCTCACTTAATTTCCGATAAAGCCTTCAACGTTCATACGTCCTGAGTTGCTTACCTCAATTAATTTTACCCTCGTGACGCAAAAGTTTCGCGAAAGCACAGCAGCTGTGGAGCAGAGGCTCCGCAGCTTCGTATTTTATGTAGAATCCTAATTACACGCGAATCCCGTTTTTCCAAACAAAATAATACGCCAAGTATCTCGCTGAGCCATTCCATCGTTAACAAACAACATCATTAATCTTTGCGAATAAATAGAACTCATTCTTGCGCAGAAACGGGAGAAAAACGATGCTTTTCAAAAAAAAAAAAAAAGTACGCGCGCTTTTAGCTACCGTGCATTGTATTTGTGCGCATCGCCCAATTTCAATCTCGACCAGCCGACCTTGCGGACGTGAGAGCGATGGAAGTAACGCAGTAGTGCAATATGCAGTCGCACGTTTCACGAGTCGATCCAAAAATTTACGCGCGTGCAAAAATAAAAGAAGCAACCGATGCAAAAAAAAAGGAAAAAAAAGAGAAGAGAGAAGGTAACAGGGAGAAGAGAAGCCGCTGTGCGAAGCGAAGGTCCTGGCGGAACCTAAAAAAGCGCTCGGTCGAGATGCGGCGCGAATCGATTGCACGACGCCGCTTAAGATAATGGATCGCCTATCGGAATTGCCCCGGTACGTGTATGATAGTGGCCGGCTTGGACTGCATCGTCGATGGAATTGCAGCTGCGGAAGCGCCGCGGAACTGCCACGAAGGCCTATTCGTCACTGTCCCGCCGCCTTATCGTTCACGACGGCGCGACCCTTTCGGTTGGCCGTTATCTGTTGCCATTTGTTACGGGCTACAGCAGATTGTCAGCTTCGGTTTTATTGGCCGGCAAGTAAAAATATACTCCGCTCAATCGCGGGAGCGTAGGAAAGTGGTGCAGTACGCTTCGTTCCGAGCTCCATCGATAGAGAGGCCGCGCAATAGCTTAAAGGATACGAATATATCACCGCATGCACGGGTGAGACAGACATTGCGTCATTGTATTTCACATGACCTCCCCGATACAGCATTGTGACGACGATAATTATTAATTTACGAACGTACCCCGCGTAACTCATATTCGTGAAAAAAAATTCTCGCTGTTACAGCATACGCTCTCGCGCGCTTTTGATACTCATAGTGCGACCAGGTCAGCGTTTCGGAAAGGTATCGAAAACAATTCGCACTCGACGACGGAGAAACCGGAAATTTGAAGCACGAATGGCAATTCCCTGAAGCGCGGTATTTCGGCGAACGGATTTTTCACACAAACTGATCCAGTATTTTTGTATCTTTCCAATACTCCTATTTATTGTGTACGCAGATGCAGTGTACTGAATGAGATATTTTTTATTGCCTATCGTGCGATCGGTGACCTCTTTTTAATCCGTTGCAACGTGTGTCAAACTAGGGTAGTATATCTCTTGTTATGCGCGCGACAAGGACGTCACGCGTTGCAAACATGCGTTTTCTAATACGTTATTCAATGATTTAAACGCTATCTGTCATGGCGGATAAGCCAATTTCGGAGAAGTTCATATCAAGCGTATGAAAAAAAAACAATAATATGAGAGAATGAAAAATTCTGCGTTGAAATTATAAAAGATAATCTCTACCTGCGCGGCACGAATATAACAGTAATGTAATGATAACATGGCATAAATAACATACGGTCGTTTTGAAGATGTTATCAACAATAATAAATCAAACAACCGGATCTCTCATCTCGCTCGCAGCAACAGCTCAAGCCGAGAGCTTGAAGAAATGGTAGAGGAGGGGAACGCCGTCCCATACGGAACAATAAAATTTAATTATCAGTTATCAATAACATGCTCTTGCCGAGTTACTCGCTCTCGCCTCTCAGAGTCGTACATACACCCGCATAATTTTAACCATGCCAATTCAATTGCTGTTTCGTATAAAGGCGCCGCCCTCGTTAAAGCTTACCTCAGTCTTTGTGGTATACTGTGAGATACAACTTCCTTATAAGCTAACGAAATACCGTGTAATGTGAGACATTTTATACGTATATAGATATACATGTATACATATATGTATATATATATGTGTATATATATAAACGGCAGTCAAATCTTGCCTTCATTTAATTTAATTCGAAAGTAAAGTTGTACATAATGGTGGTGATCAATGTAATAACTGTAGCCTTCTTCGTTGCAACTGGGATAACGTTTGCGACGTGTGCAGCTTCGACAGTAAGTTTTCCTCATGTTTTCCTAAATTATTAATAATTTGTGATTATTAACAATAGCGAAAGAGCATTGCGACATTTATAACGCCGTCATGTAATTATGATTTATAGGAATAAAAACGAAATTAATATTAAGAATAATGAAATAAATACTGTGCATTTAAAGAGGTTGAAATATGTTATAGCAATTTAATTTATTTAATTTCACTTCCAGGGCAAACGACGTCCGGAATTAAAAAAGCCCGTAAGTGATAAGCTTATCGCGATAATGTAACAATTTAAAACTGGTATATTAAGCTGCATGAAATATGAAATCTCATTATCCTTAAATTCTTATTATAAATTATGATTATATTCTTATTATCATAATGAGCAACGAAATGTTTTATTTAAGGAAACTGGACACAAACGTCATGGTGACAATACTTCGGATGTCCTAGCTCTTGCTCTTTCAGACTTCGAAGTTGTGCGTAGATCTCTGGGTCCAATGACACTCCAGAAATACATAGATAAATCAAATTCTCCGATAGCGGAAAGCAAGAACAGAAATACAATAGAGAAGTTAAAGCTATCAGTGACACTTCGCGACAACATACTTTACATTTTCTCGTACCTACTTCGCGGCTATGAAAATGGCTTGACGGAGAAGCAATATGCATCTTTGCAGATGCTTTATAATATCTTCAGGAAAAGGATGGTTCACGTGTACGACATGTTGCCTGTTCTATCGAAACTAGAAAATAAAGACAAGAATCAACAGACGAAGATCATATTGTCGTCACTGATGGAACACCTTCCGCTCTATCTTTCATGCACAGCCAAATTCCTGATCAACGAGATACAACAAAAGAAAATCAATTTGAATATATTGCTACGGTCAACGAAATCCGAGAAATTCAATTACTTAACCAACATCAATCGGGACTTAATCGCTACAAGTAAAATAAAGGACAGTGAAGGAGAAACGGGAGGATACGATAAATATTCAAACATCACTCGGAAAGCTCTTGGTTCGGTATTTGTAAAGCTTCTTCACACTCTGCACACAAGCAAAGAATCTCTGTCGCAGGAATTATTCGGTCTGATATTGATGAATTTACCAAACCACAACGACGATCCCGTATTCGAAGAGAACATCAGATATTTATACGAGATAACTGCAAATAATCGTATTATAAACTGGAATCCAATCGGGAAGAATCCCGTTAGCAAGGATGCCTACACACTTGTATTTTCTATGCTCTCCAAGATCCTTAATAATCCAAGCACAGACATCGTTATAAAAAACGCCGCGGCTTACGTGTACAACCATTTGAAGATCAGCGCTTCAATCTACGCTAATCCGAACTTTAAGTATATGTACAACCTAATTAAACAAGACATAGACATGGGACTATTGTTCTCAGCCGTTGTTCCACAGGAATTTGATGCGGATACAATTCGCATGAAAGATCGTCTGCTGAGATACTTCATGCAGAACTACAGGAACAAAGACTTGGATCAGGTAGTTAAGGGATTTAACAAATTTGGTTATGACGATCCTCTAGATCTCCTTATGGCGTTCCTAACGAGAATATTGAATCGCATCCCGGCGTCGAAAGTAGAAATTCTACAGCCAGCCGCAGCTCTGCTGTCAGCTTTAATTGTGAAGAAGCACGCCAGGATTTTCACGCCCTTCGTATCGCCCGAAGTTGATGTGCTGGTACTCTTGGAATCTCTCAGGAACCCTGATCTAGATCCGATGCTTCCGAAATTAGTGGATTCCATAGAACTCGAATTGACTTCACATCCACGAATATCCGTGTTTCTGAGCACCTTGATACCAACGGAGAAAGATAAATGTCTGATACCTCGACAATGCATAATAAATACGTTCCAGCGGATGCAAATGCTACACGCTCAGTTGCCTATAACGTTAACAACGAAAATTCAAAATGTATTACACATTTTGCAGACAACTGCGCCATCACATATCTTTTCCACGCAATATTCCATGATACCGGGAAACGTAGATCGCTATAATACGGAGCAGAAGAATCCAATAATGTTAAACGATATGAATAGCGCACCGATTGAATTAAACGGAAAACCGTATGTATGGAATATAAATAAATATGCCGTCGAGATAGATTCCGATACGCAAGAGGAATCAACAGAACGCGGACGGGAAAACCCTACAATTACTGAGTCCGTGGAAACGAAAGAGCCCGCTGTTTTAAGCCATTTATTCGAATGGACGTCGACATCACCTCAGATTTTCTACAGCACGGCGTATCGCACGACTACGGAAAACATCCTGGGGGAATTTAGTGCCGAAATCGAATATTCCCGCGGTCTAGAACCAATTTCGTCAATATCGCGAAAATCGTCCCAAAATGTACTCCCAACAATCCCCAAACGCCCATTAAAATCGGAGAAAGTTCGAGAACATGTGACAAATATTGCACCTTATGCTTCCATGTCTCCGGAGTCGTCCGAGGAAATACCTGAAAACACCGCGCCGAGACTTTCAGTCGAGGAAACATTGGACTCTGAAAATGTATCAGCTGCGATGGTGTTGCCACCGCTTATAAAACCCGATCGCCCTCTTACCGTACAACTGTCCAATAATGGCGTGCCGGTTGTAACGACGGACGAGCATCACGATGACGATGCGGAATCTGGACTTACCTTGCCAGAAATCGCAGTACTTCTGAAGTCGCCTAATGTGAACAATTTCTTGGAAGAAGTCGATACACCGATAGTAACGCAAATACTACGGCCGCTGTCTGCTATATTTGGTAAAAATTATATCAATAAAATCCTGAAAGACGTGAACCCGAAACTTTACTCCACGAACATCGCGTTATTAACGGCAATATTCAAAAGAGCCAAGAACCATCCGCAAGTAGCGAAAATGCCGGAGTTGATTGACTTAATTCGGAAGTACATCGCCAGTATAGAATATGTCAGTCCGACTATACTCCTGCCCATTGTAATTTCATCAAAGAGATTGGCATCAGATATTGTGTACTCCACGTTTAATCCGTATGACTTAACCTACAGTGTAATTAGCGAAAACCCGCCGGATGACAGCTCATCCGATACTGTCACTGTACCTCTTGTCAATCCTAAAGCATGGCTGCAAGCGATAAATCCATCTGACCCTTATATTGATTTACTACCCACTTTGCCGAAGGAAGATACTTTTGAAAAAAAGTTACGACCTCTCAAGAAGATCTTGACGCGTGAGAAGATTACGGAAATACTCGGACCAGATTTCAAACCTTTATTGTACCCGAATAAAGGTGCACTTTTGATAACGCTTTTGCACAAGCTGCAGAAGGTTAAAGCGATTCAATTGAACATCCCGCTGAAATCCATAATCGACTTATATATACACGCAGTTGAGATACCGTCGATGAACACCAACGTGCCCGAAAGTAGCTTCATGAAGATGATGTCGGAATCTACGGGTTACTGGCAGCCCGAATTAACCAGTTTGATCTATGCCTTGCCGGCAGCCAAGAACGATGCTGAGACCGCTATGATAAAAATGATAGAAGATTTCCTCGCCAGTCCCGATCTTTTGGAGAAATTGCACATAGCTAAGCCGCCGTTAACCACGTCTCGCGGAGAACTGTTGCGTAAAATTATCCTGAAGGTATTATCCAGCAATATACATATGGAGAAACGAATCCTGAAAGCGCTCAAATACTATAAGGACAAGGTGATGTTTAGTGATATGGGTGCTCTGCCAGTAATGTGGATGTGGGTACATGTGTACGTAGTTAAGGCCGAAGTGAAACTGGGCGACATGATACAGAAAACACTGGACTTCGAAAAATTGCCGTACCAGGAAAAATTAGCGTACAACAATCTAGTTACATATTTAGCGGAGAATCCTCATTTCCTCCAGAACAACGAGGACTTTGCATTCGAGAAGTATAAGACGCAAGGGGAATTTGTTAAAGCTTTCTTTAGATATTTACTGAAGAAGTCGCGCGTTAACGATCACATTAAAAAGAATATTCAGACATTACTTCCACGCGTGATGTTGACCGGACCAGGAGCAATCTTATTGCCAAGTTTTTCCGAATCTTTTTAAAAGAACAATAAATATTGAGTAAAGAACGAAATATTGGGTCAATCAAAAAGTTCGAATCGCTTTTCAATACATATGCTGTCAGAGCCAAAGACAACTCTAGCAATTTTCTATAAATAATTATAAACATGATAAATATGAGAAATTTGTTTCTGTATTGACTGCAGTGAAGTCAAATTTGATTAAAAAATCAAACGAAACTTTTTCACTGGCCTAATATAACTTAATGTCATGACTCTCTAAACAACAAAATGAAACTCTAAAAATACTGCTTAGAATTTTATTATGTAGAGTTTGATTTATAACAAATAAAAAAGTTAGATTGTTTAATTGTTTAATTTAAAACTGTAAGGAGAAGAATAGATGTGAGCGATACATATTGGATGGAGTTTATCCAACATAGTTTGTAAGAAGAGCAAAATAGAAATCTGATGTGATGAGAAGTTTATTCCATCGTTTTTTTTACACTTACACTTACTCTCCATACTCCCTATTTTTTTTCTCTATTGTTAATCCCTAACTCGCGATTTTGTCACATCGTGTATTTCTCTCTGCCACAATAAAATAATTACTTATCGCGTTATACGTTTCGACTAAAGATAGACGGGGTGAAGGCGCACACAATTTCAAAGAAACAAATAGATATGCGAGCCGATGTAACGAGGTAGCTTCGCCGCAATAAAAATGGAACAGACGGGTGACACGCGAAGCGGAACGAAACGAGAAGCGGAAGCGACGGTAGGGATTATTTATTTTGCACGGCGACCGCAATCCGCGGGGATATTTTCCGCGAGACGGCCGACCAAACTGTCTGGAAAACGAGGAAAAATTACATCAGTGAAAAATAATAAACTCGGAGCTGCCTTTCGTGGTCGAAGACTGTAAGCGGCAGTATCAAAATAGAAGTAACGATAACGACATTGACGGCAGATGGTACGAATGTTTGAAAGCGAGAACAGGATCAAATATGCATGCTTGGTTCATGACGTTGCCTATAAACAGCAGAAGTTTATGTAGTCATTGCAAAACCAGCGTGAGTAAACACGAAGCGAAACCAAGAGCTGTCGCCTCAAGAGAATCAAAGAAGAAAAATTCTCGAATTTTGACCAAGTATTAACGACTGTTTTACAAAACGCGGAGCACACGATATTGGCATACTCTTTCATTTATTCTTCCTCACGTTTCAACGACAAAACAAAGATACACAAATCACGAGTTACGAGCTATTTGTAGTTTAAATGCAATCATTCTTACAACTTCCAGTAGCTCGCGTTTGAAAGTGAAAACTCGCAAAGTTTGGTAGACCAAAAGTCCTTGAACTAAAATACCTGTCGCGATGCGCAATTCCACCGGCGGCTTTCTCACCGACGTCAACAACACGAATCCAAATATTCCAGCGAACGTCCAAGAACAAAGACGTGTCGAGAGGTATTCCGTCCGCACTAACTTATCGCGCAACACTATTTCGCCTGTTTAATTTAGCGCCCGAAATAATTTATATATGGCAGGACGAGAGAGGCTACGGCTCGCCCGCGCAATAACATCTCGAAGATGAGCCGCGCACTGCACCGGGTGGATGCATCGCACGTGCAGACATGTATCCTAGGGGGTTGCATACCCAACCTCGCACTACGTCTCCGACATCGTTCCTCTGCCGGAGGGTTCGCCGGATCCGACATAACCCCCGAGGTCGTAACGGTAAGTCTCTCGGCGTGAGGACCCGAAATTAATAACGCGACCCGGCGCAAATACGGCGCACATAATTAAAGCGATATTACGATCTAGAGCAGCCCGCAGTATCGTCTACCGGTGCGGCCTGCATCGAAGATGTTATTTAGCCGCGCACCGAATTTAGGTGCTGAAAGCACTGGTATTACGCTCTGATTCGCAACTTGCCCGCTAGACTCATCGAGGATGTGATTAGACCGCGCGCGCTATTTAAGCGTGCATGACGAATGGGCGGCCGTTTTTCACGCGCAAATGCATTTAAATGTAACAATGTTCAGAAGCAACGAGAGTATTGCATTAAGGGGAAGCACGATACTTTGGGTTAATCGAAATGTTGACGTCAATTTTCTGCCTTTCCTGAACCGACCACTACAAAAGGTACGTTGCCGAACCGTTGGCGAAGGTTTATAAATAATAATGGTTATTATTTGGTTTGTAAATAATTTGTCTGCATTGGGCGTATAATAAAGTTAAATTCACCTACGACATCTGAATAATGATAATGCAAATAAGACAACTTCAATATTTGCGAAATAATTATGATATAATTCATAAATTTACTGAGAGGAATACACATAGCGGCGCACAGAATATTTCAGCTTTTTCAGCGATAAAATGCATTAACCTTCACAAAGTAAAACTACCGACGAACGATATCCTCGGAACACGTAGGACACGCGTGACGATGACCGCAAAGACGACAGACTTGGTGGAAAGTCCGCTAGGATAGGTCAGGGCGTCGGCGGTACGTTTAGGATGAATGAAACAAGACAAGAAGCACAAAGGAGGCAAGCGGAAAAAATGGGAGAAAGGATATGGGAGGAAAGTAGTAAAGCAGCGACTCTCAAGTTTTATCTCTCGCTGTACCTTTTTTTTTTACTGTTAGTAGCGAGACTTTAAAGTTTTATGCGATGTAGTCGAACATTTGCGTATCTTTTTGCCTCGATCGTATCGAAGTTTCCGAGAGACGCAGCCGAAATTGCGGGGAAATTTCCAAGTATGATCAGCCGATGAAATACGAGAGAACGTCACGAATGATACAACGATGGTGAAGTAATTAATCTGCTCGCGTTCTCCTCTCTTGCCCGTTTATTTGTGTACACAAGCGTTCATTTAAAGACACTGTCATTTCTTCTGAGAGTCACTGCGCTAAGAGACAGGGTGCAACCCTGATGTATGAGATACTCCTCCGCGGGTGTTTCTACACGGCGGCACCGTCAGGGAAATGTTAGCCCATAAAATATATCTCGAGCGTTGGCTTATGCCGCGTGAAACCCAGCAAGATGTTTCTATTTCATAGAAACGCTCGTCTTCCGGCTTTGCAGGGCATGCGGAGGGTGGCGCGACGAGAAAGGCCAGGGCGTTGATAGGACTAGACTGTAAATCACGTGGGAGCTATTCGATGTCTCGCTACGTCCGACAATTCCGTCCAACGAATTTGCTATCGCTACTCAGCGTTATCGCCCAAATTTCGCCAAGGACGATTTGGACTTTTAGTGCGCAATGCAACGTTTCGCGTTTTGCAGTAAACGGCCAGCACTTAAATTTAAACTAAAACAGCGGCAGATAAATGCTGCAACGTATAAACATGAATTATCCGCGAAATAATATACAATTTTGGAAAACACGAATTTATAAATAAATATTGTAATGAGGTTAATATATAATATAATATATATAGTTTGTATTAAAATTGAAACGCTCGCGTATGTCAGTGGAGTTTCATACATTATTATTGTTTCGGCTCTTGCCTTCTTTGTAAAAGGCTTATTTCCTCAGCTAGCCCGTCATTTCCGCAGCGCGATAACGTTCTCTCGTCTGTATCCTCGACGCCTCGCAGTATGAAGCGTCGTGGAACGTCGACGAGGATCCCGTAAAGTGCACGAAAATTCCACAGAATCCGGGAAAAATTTATGGTCCGGATGTTTACCAACGTGGAATTCCCTCAGGCACTCCCACACAGTATAGGATAGTGTAGAGCCACCTTTTGCCCTCGCTGCTCAGGGGGTGGCTATTAGTAGTAATTACTGGAGCAATAAGTCTCTGCCTAATACTTCTCTCCTCGAGCCTTTCATCTTTCCTCCTCCCGGATGGCATTTTCCGCTCTTGTCGCCTTTCCGGAGTGTAAACTATCCCTCTTCATCTCCGCGGGAACTTTCTCGTACGATATCCTCACTCCGAAGTACTTGATATTAAATGAGTAAAGTGGAGAACCCTTATTATTTCATTGGGCAGTTCCCGGGGCAGGATTGCGCCAGTCTAATATGAATCCTTAATTGAATCCAGAATGTAGAAGTGCAACACGTTCAAACGAGCGCCAAGCGAGTATAGTTTCCAGTTACTTAAACTTCACTGCGCGAAAATGTTGTTCCGTACTACGGTGCAAACGAGTGATTTATCTTCAATTTCTTAAATTACGTGTGTTGAATGTATATACACATTTAGTTTTGACAAAAATTAAGTTTCTTGAACGTGACGATGTGCACTGATCGTAAAGTTCGCTTCGACTCTCCCATCAAACTTCCCACATAAAATGTTTATGTGCGAACCACGTGAAATGAAAAAGAAGAATAATTCTTTGTAACAGATGTCACAACTAGGACAATTTTTAATAACCTTGTAGAGGGAAGAAAGCTGCCGCACAATGCACTTCATTAACGTTCATAACTGTTAAAGAACATTGCACTATGGCCTACCGTGTGTGTTACACGCAAAACTGCTTAAACAGTCGCCAGGAGGATGGGATGTTATCGGTTTTTTTTCACGCAGGACTATAGCTTTTAATTACCCTTTTTACTGAGATTCTCTTTCTCTCGTGTTTTTTTTTTTTTTTTTTCGGAAAACGGCCATGGCAAAGTTTCAGTTCCGTCTCGCGCGCCGCTATTTTTCCGGAACAGAAATAACGCGCGGCAGCTCAACTAATTCTTGCTTCAACTATGCTCTATTCGTTGCGAAAACCGGCTGGTGAATAAAGAGTTTGCATATTTGATCACACCGCAGGCCGCTTTATTAACGTTTTATACTTTCATTTGTGTTCTCGTGCGAAAAGTTCATAATGTTAAAGTGTATACGAACAATGGATTATACGAACGTTGCGCTGTTTGTATGCCGCGAAACTTTTTCTAAAGCATTTCGTAGATGACAGAATCCTATTACATGTATTACATGAATAGGTATTCTTACGCCACTTGTTGTTATTGATTTCCACAGCACCTGATTTCGCATTAGCTAATTTCACCTCATGTTTGTCTAGGGTATGTAGTACATTAATTGCAGTCTGGAGTAGCCGGCTACCCAGATACTGAAACCACTAATAATTAAAATTACGAAAATGCTGTTTCTTCAGCGCCTCCATCGTAATCTCTTTTCGACGTCTAAAGTCTACGTCAACCCCTTTCGCCTCTACATCTTTCCTTATTACCCTTTCTCTACAAACTTCCTTTCTAAAATTCATTAGTCCTCATCAGAAGTTATCCGTAGTTGCGCCAGGTGTCGATATTAACTTCATATACTTGAAAATAATTAAGACAGAGCTGCTTCTCTATAAAATGTATAATCGAGAATACCAGTAAATTACTAAAGAGATATACGTGAAATTTCTACACAATCTACATACATTTTACAGATTTAGAAACAGAATTTCTAAAATTCTAGGTCTAAAATTAATTAAAAATCTATTCCCACATAAAGTTCATCGTATATCGGAATTCTATTAAACAC